CATCACTCTGGAGGAGGCCTTGAGAGGGTGAGTGCATTGTTTCCTAGCGTCGCTGTCTTCGAGTGGTGTGTCATTAGATGGAGCTCGTGGGCCGCGTAGTCGGGCCGTCGGGGGGAGGCGGTCGTAGTGACCGGGCGTGGAGTTGTTTGAGTCGGCGATGCTCTCGGTAGTAAGGTGTCGCCTCGCGGCTCTTATGGACCTTTTGTAACCTGGAACATCTTCGGAAAGAACAGTCAGCATGCATATCATAAACGTCGTGTGCCGGGGTCATTAGTATGTCTACCCGTCGATCATCTGTTGCTATTTTTCTAGATCACTTGTCTCTTCGTCTCGTAATCTAGTCCTGTGGTGCTCGAATCCCCCGCGCGCGCTCGCGGTCGGTGTGTAGAGGGACGTAATAGTATTTTGGTACTTGTGTCAGTTGCTTTACTTTTTTTCGAAAAGCTAGTGGGGCATTTCGTTCCGCCTCCCTGGTAGGTCCCGCCGGGAGGAGGGCGTCCCCGCCCCGCCGAGGCATCCAGTCGGCTTAAGTCAAAAAAAAACTGCGAATCTTGTCTATCGACTAGTTTTGTGTAGTCCGACTTTTCTTTAGTGTCCTTTTATAGATGTCCTCGTCTTGCTTCTTCTGTGGTGTCCTCTGTCACATATATACGTGTCGAAGTTTGTGTCTCTTTTTTCCTTATCCGGCAGTGGGGTTTTTTGGTCGATGAGAGTGGTGGTTTACCTTTTTTTGTTGAGTTTATTTCTGGAATTGTTGGCCGGAGTGTGTGTGTTGTTTCTTGTGTTTTTCCTCCTCCCCTTTGGGAGAGTGTGTGGTTAGGGCTTGACGATCTCCGGGTCTCTTGACCCTTTAGTTTTTTACGTCGGTGTTTTGTTGGTGTATATGTGTGTCAAGGAGGACGGATTGCGGTTTTCACCGAGCGTCATCACACCCTTTCTCCTGACCGCTCGGGAATTATGTGGAGCGAGTTAGTTGGGGGTGGGTCTTGGTCGTCGAAACGACCGTTGGTTGTCAGTGATGGAGACGGCGAAAGTCAGCCTGTAGTTTTGGCTGCTCTTGAAAAAACTAATAGGTAACGTCGAGTCCGGTCCTTTTTGCTTCACTCTAGTGGGAATTAATTCGAGAATTCCATTTAGACCGGGTTCGACAGCGTGATGCCCCACGAGAGCGCCTTGACTGGCCAGGGCTTGGCTGAGTTCGTCCGCAGTCTTGGACTGGTGGCCTGTGTCCGCTGGGTCCATGCTGGCCAGATCGTTCTGTTACGATATCTGAGAGGACCCAAACGCAGGACACGGCAGAGTGTTCAAAAAAGGTTTATTAGTGAACAAAAGGTGCGGGAAGGATAATCCGGCAGGAGTGGCGAGGAATTGGAGGCTGGTGACGACAACACGCCGGTCAGAGAATGATCCTGGAGCACAGGAAGAAAACACGTTAGCGTCAGAACATCCAGAAATAAGGTAGCTGATAATGCTGAGTAGCCTGGAGGTTTACCACTGTGGTTTAACAACGATCTGGCGCCGACAGGTTGTGGAGCCTCTGCTGATATGCCGTTGTAGATGGCTGATGAGAATCAGGTGTGAGGGTGAACAGCTGATTGCAGCAGGTGAGCCGGGAGCCAGAGTGACAGCCACCACGCCCACACAACAGGCAAAGGGAAAACATCCCCAAGGAGGCGGCTGGAAATGGACAGCCACCACACATAGATCCATCTCACTCCAGGGTGATAGCAGGACACCCCATGTAGTCAGTCACTCAGAAAAAATCAGGACATTCTGATGTACAGTTTCAAAATAAAAGACCTTTGGGGACAGGGATGATAGGTCATATATGAGACTTCAAAGGTCTTTTATTTTGAAACTCTACATCAGAATGTCCTGATTTTTTCTGAGTGACTAGATGGGGTGTCCTGCTATCACCCTGAAGTCAAATTAGTCTTTGATACTGGACAGTTTTTGTTTTATTCTCATCTAAACACAGAGGGATGTATTTTTTGACTCTACCGTAATGCATAGGATATTCGCGCACCGCAATATCACGTGAGGGCTGGCTTGACTAGGTTTTCCCGAGTGGAGGCTGGCTTGACAGCAGTTAGTTTAGCATACTCAGCCCGACTCAGCCTGGTTGTTCCTGGCCCTAGAACCACGATTTTATGGGGCCATTACATCACCAGAAGTCCCAATTTAAGGGGTCATTTCTCCCAAAAAAATGTTTTACTCACTATATCAACAGCCCCACCAAAAATATTTTCTACCAGCCGCCACTGTTTATAGGCAAATATGGGCGTTACGTGAAGCCCGCAAAAAGCTGCGCCGCATTTCGAGTCGATTGTGATTTATAAAGGGAAACCGGCGTAGGATGTGCCGTATGCAAGTCCTGCGCCGGTACGCAGTCTTTTATGAATCGGAAAAATGTCTGTGCGTATTTATTTGCTTTGTCCTACGTAAGGCCGGAGGTTAGTTGTCCCAAAGAGTAGAACGAAGCGGTATAAAAACAGTTTTATCCCAGCTGCTATTGCACAAATGAACACATAGGAGTGTCACACATAATGCCTTTTTTAATTTATTTATTGAATTATGAATTTTGAATGTCCATGTTTATACTAGTGTTTTCCTTCTTAAAATGTTTCTGAAATATTTTTAGATTTGGTTGAGCAGGTTATACTTGTACTTTTACTAGTCCTTTTATTAGAGATGTGTCTGTTGTTTGTGTTTGTTCTTAGTGTCAGGATGGATCCCTTGTCTTTTTCTCTGCAAACAAAATCTACATTCGGGTACAAATAAATAACCTGAACCTGTGGTGTGTAACATTATTTCAGTTTGAAATAATAATAATTCAGTTTGAACATGTTTCTTCAGTTGGCATGTTCTTCAGTGAGATGACTAAAGGTTGTAGTTATTTGCTGAGTTATCATAATCAGAAATCCTTTATCCTGCCGCAGCAGCAAAGGTACAGTGCAGATAAAGGGCAAAAACGAGAAAGAATAGACTTATATATTAAAGAAAGAGACAAGCACACTTTATTAAGAAATATAAAATAGTACAAGTGTGACATTTATTTTGACAATGACATCTGACCAAAAGTGATCTCTTTTAGTTATGTGAACAAAGTCAGAATTCTGAGTTTTATCTTAGAACAAACTCACTAAATACCTTTATGTATTTTGCCTTCTGTTGTGTTCCTCTTCCTCTGCTGCAGATGAAGATCCCCTCGAAGAAGATGGCCCACATCCCCGTGTACACTGTGGGCTTCCACAGCACTCCGAAGAGCCACGGACACAAGAGCCAGGTGTATAAGTGAGTCTGTCACCATGGAGACTGTCAGGGCCATGTGTACTTTAAAGCTGATTTAAAATGAGCGCCTTGTGCATTAATGAGCCAAAAAAACAACGGAAACCAGCAAGTTTATTTTTCAATAAAGATCGATTTATGGTCGATTTAAAGGTTCGGTCTGAGAGAGCAGAATGGCTAAAGATTGTCCATGCATCAGACACCTACATTTAAAAATGTGTCATTTATAACATCTGATCCTTTACAACAAACACTGTATGATCTTTTTAGGTTTTTACTACTCAAATCAAAATTATTCTAGTAATCCTCAATTTGTTTTAATGTAAGAGTAGTCGGGTTACATCTTTCATGTCATTGTCGGTGAATTAAATTACCTTTGTATGTATCATGATAACGTAATCCCAGATACTCCCCAAGCCTGGTTAAAGGAGTGTCAGTCTCCAGGTCCCATTAGCAGGACCCATTACTTTATTATAGTTTTTCCACTGTACGTGACTATGTTCTGATGCTGAGGAGGATATTTATTTACTACTTACCACCGAAAATTGTAGTGAAGTACAGTACTTGAGTAAATGTACTTAGTTACTTCCCACCTCTGTGTGACACACAGGTCCTCAGCGTACCTTCAGCCGGTCACTGTGTGTTCTCTCAAAGGACAGCGGCTCTGGGTTAAGAACACAGGTCAGATCTATTTCAGTCTGCAGCTAATTGCTAACCTGCTGCAGCGTAAGCAGTGACCCGACCAATCACAGATAGCAGACTCATTCCAATCAGCAGCGTCGACCCAACCCATTCTTTGTTATGTTATCAGTGCAGCCTCCATTATGTCATAATTACCCAGCTGCACTAATCCACTCTCTGCCTCTGACAGGGATGAGAGAGCAGAGAGGGTGCACCACTTAGGTTACCAGAAATACACCCAGAAAGTGAGAACAGTCCTCCAGATTCTACATGTTCTCTTGTGTACAGTTCTTTGTGCACACTATTATCAGAACACGTTTCACAAATAATCCTATTGCAAAGTGGGAGGGACATGTCCCCAGTGTCCCCAGAATAAGTGCCGCCTTTGAACACAACCCTCTCCCCCCCTGCAGGTCCCTGCGCAGCCTGTCCCGGCGCCCGGTGGAGGAGGAGTTCCCCCACCTGTACGCACAGGGCTGCACGCTGCGGGACGTCTGCGCTGAGTGTACCAAGTTCGTGGCCGACGTGATCTCGTCCAGCCGCCGCAGCGTGGACATCCTCAACAACACCCCCAAGAGGGAGGCCAGGGCGGCCCCCCAGAGACCACAGCTGCAGCGCCAGTCACACCTGGAGACTGACCCTCACCCTCAGTGTCTCCGTCCCCTTCACCCACAGGGCCAGCTCCCTCCACAGTCCCATCAGCATCATCCACAGCAGCAGCGGCCTCATGCCTCATCAGCGGCTCCTCTCCACACCAACACCATCAACAATGGGAAGCAATGAGGAGATTCACACACACACACACACACACACACACACACACACACACACACACACACACACACACACACACACACACACACACACACACACACACACACACTAAAACGTTGACTTTAATTAAATGTATTATCTCAACCCATTTCCCATAACTGTATTAGGTTAGTTGAAAGCAATATTATTATAATACATTTAATTAAAGTCAACGTTTTAGTGTGTGTGTGTGTGTGTGTNGTAAACCTCCAGGCTACTCAGCATTATCAGCTACCTTATTTCTGGATGTTCTGACGCTAACGTGTTTTCTTCCTGTGCTCCAGGATCATTCTCTGACCGCCGTGTTGTCGTCACCAGCCTCCACTTCCTCGCCACTCCTGCCGGATTATCCTTCCCGCACCTTTTGTTCACTAATAAACCTTTTTTGAACACTCTGCCGTGTCCTGCGTTTGGGTCCTCTCAGATATCGTAACAGAACGATCTGGCCAGCATGGACCCAGCGGACACAGGCCACCAGTCCAAGACTGCGGACGAACTCAGCCAAGCCCTGGCCAGTCAAGGCGCTCTCGTGGGGCATCACGCTGTGGTTCTCCGTGAGGTAGTGGAGACTCTCCGGAACCTCCCACGAGAGCGCCTTGACTGGCCAGGGCTTGGCTGAGTTCGTCCGCAGTCNTGGGGATGTTTTCCCTTTGCCTGTTGTGTGGGCGTGGTGGCTGTCACTCTGGCTCCCGGCTCACCTGCTGCAATCAGCTGTTCACCCTCACACCTGATTCTCATCAGCCATCTACAACGGCATATCAGCAGAGGCTCCACAACCTGTCGGCGCCAGATCGTTGTTAAACCACAGTGGTAAACCTCCAGGCTACTCAGCATTATCAGCTACCTTATTTCTGGAT